TTTTGAAGATTTGTCTTTTTGTCTTTTAATACAGTCCACTTAAGTCTGTTTTTTTTTTTAAGATAATTCCCCAAGTCAAGAATTTAGTTACTATGTTGGCAACATAAGCCTATTTAAAAAATTTGAAAGCATTGACAATTTTACATTGTATTGCCAACATAATGTCATTTTGACTTTTATCTTAAAAAAAAAACAGACTTTACGTTTTCCTGCAAGACTGTCATGTCTTTATCGAAGAAACCAAGTTTATTTCAGATTTTGACGAAGACCTCTGAACCAGTCATTACAATGAGTGTTTATTGTTAAAAACAAAGACGAGCTTTGGAATGATAGTATAACAAATGCCGAGCATACCAGTCCATATTTATGAATTGAAATCCATTGGAAAACGATCGTCATACGGTGTAAGTGAGACCTAAGGGTCGTCATTCGCCCCCAAAATTCCCTATTTTTCAATGATAGAGCCGATCCTCAGATCTCACGTACACCGTATGCTGATCGTTTTCGGATGAATTTTTATTCATAAATATCGATTGGTATGCTTGGCATATGTTATACTATCATTATGAAGCGCGTTTTTGTTTTCAACAATAAACAATTAACTTCTTCAGCGCAAGTCCTGCAGTCACCCGCTAATTTTTCTTGCAGGTTAACGAGCATATGCATAGTTAACAGAACCTCAGAGGGCATACATTATACTATCGTTGTACTTTTCGCAGTGAGCTTACGATCTATTACGGTATTTTAGAGATTTTGTTGCCATATTTTGACGTTTAATGGCATATCCAAGGTCAAAGGGCTTAAATCCAAATAATCATATTGTAATGACTACAATTTCTTTTCTACAACTATCAAAAAATGATGACGTTTGCACACTGATGACAATTTGCGAAGTGACATGCCAAATGCCTAGTTTGCACACTCAGGTAACAAATCTCCAGTGTGCGAACTAGGCATTTCGCACACTGGAGAAGCATTTCGGGCACGGCGTCATGGGAACTTTAAAAAATTCATACCTGGAAAAAAAAGTGTCACTTCACAAATGGTCATCAGTGCGCAAACATAATCTTTTTTTGACAGTTGTAGAAAAATAACTATTTTTTTTCGAAATGGCACAACACAAACACAAAGATTAGAGTAGCTCTATCCGGAAAAAAACGCTATTAAACTCCACAAACCACATTGAAAAAACTTTTTCCTACGAGCGTACGCAAAGTAGTACTTTTCCGCACGCATTACTGTTCTCAAAGTTACACTTTTCCGCACTCAGTGCGGATACGGGCCTTATCCGCACTGAGTGCCGAAAAGTAAAAATAATTGTCAAGCAACAATAAGTGCACCTGTCGACTTTGACACTTGATGACAAATTTTTCCTCTGTTTCTATATCAGCCAACATCTATCAAACACTGAATATAATTAACTTTGACACATTGTCAGATTTGTGTTCTCCATTTACATGTAAGAATCTACAAACTTCTCTCGCATCAAATTTAAACGCTTTAAGATGAACAGCTCTGACGAGGATTTCAATTTTGTGTCTTTTTTTTTTAAATAAATTTTTGATGAACGAATAGGTCCGCTTCAAATTGATTGAAAATAATTGAACAAATTATCGTTTTTTTTTTTTTTTTAATTTTTGTTGTTGCCTACCTAATAAGAAGCTCGTAGGAAAAATTTTGTTCCTAACACGTGCGCAAAGTGTCTTTTCCGCACGCAAACCCTTATCCGAACACCGCTTCGCGTCGTTCGTATAACTGTGTTTGCGTGCGGAAAAGTAACACTTTGCGCACTTGTTAGGAAAATAACTATTTCCTACGAGCGTGCGCAAAGTAGTACTTTTCCGCACGCATTTCGGTACTCAAAGTTACACTTTTCCGCACTCAGTGCGGATACAGGCCTTATCCGCACTGAGTGCCGAAAAGTAAAAATAATTGTCAAGCAACAATAAGTGTACCTGTCGACTTTGACACATGATGACAAGTTTTTCTCTGTTTCTTTAGCAGCCTACATCTATACGAACACCGAATATAATTAACTTTGACACATTGTCAGATTTGTTCTCTATTTATATGCAAGAATCTACAAACTTTCTCATCAAATTTAAACGCTTTAAGATGAACAGCTCTGACGAGGATTTTTTATTATTATTTTTTTTGTTACGTAATTGTTTGATAAATGCGTAGGTTCGCTCCAAGTTAATTAAAAATAATTGAACGAATTATCGTTTTTTTTTTTTAAATTTTTGTTGTTACCTACTTGATATGAAGCTCGTAGGAAAAATTTTGTTCCTAACACGTGCGCAAAGTGTCTTTTCCGCACGCAAACACTTATCCGAACTCCGCTTCGCGTCGTTCGTATAACTGTGTTTGCGTGCGGAAAAGTAACACTTTGCGCACTTGTTAGGAAAATAACTATTTTCTACGAGTGTGCGCAAAGTAACTACTTTGCGCGCACTTTTGCGTACGCAAAGAAACCCTTTCCCAAAAGTGTGCGCAAAGTAACTACTTTGCACACACTATGCGGGAAAAAAATTATCCCGCACACTTTTTTTTCTGGTACCCATATTAAAATCCGGGGGGCTACTATTTGGTGGGCAAAGCCCTGCAAGAGTCTCCTATTTGGGGTGCGAAGCCCCGCGGGAGCCCCCTTTTTTGGGGGCCCAGCCCCGCAGGGCCCCTTTTTAGGGGGGCTAAGCTCCGCGGGAGCCCTGTATTTGGGGGGCCCAGCCCCGTGGGCCCCCTTTTTTAGGGGCCAAAGCCCCGCGGAGAGGGGGCCGAAAAAATGTTTTGGCCGATTTAGATATACCTACACTTTATTTTTTTCCAAGATAGATTTTGACCTTGAAAACTTTGAAACATAAACAATAACGCTTGACCCTGACTGGTCTCAAAATGAGGTGTTTCTGCAGGTTGACATCAGTTTTACAATAGCGACCAATAAGCGGCATTAGCGACATTGTTTATGTTTCAAAGATGACAATGCCAAAATCTATCTTGGAAAAAAATAAAGTATAGTTAGTTATAGCAAGTTGTTGTTTTTGATGCCTATAAAAATTAAAAATTTAAAGAAGTACATAATATAGTTATTTCACTCGTAGAAAAAATATTGTTCCTAACACGTGCGCAAAGTAGTTTTCCCGCACTCAAAGCTTATCCGAACTCCGCTTCGCGTCGTTCGTCTAACTGCTTTCGCGTGCGGGAAAACATACCTTTGCGCACTGATTAGGAAAACTACTATATCCTTGCCGAAAATATGAAACTTTGAATTTTGCCTAAAACTCTGTATGTGTAAGTTCAAGTGTCCAGCAGTTTATATACAGGGTGCCCCATGGCGTTTTTCCCAGGTAATAACTTCAGAACGCGTCATCCAATGTACTTGAAATTTTGAGAATCTGGGTAACTTTTTGTGCCGCTTCTACTATTGTCAGCCAATTTCACCACTTTCACTTTAATTTCGGTCAAGTGAAGTCAACTTTGAAATCTCAAATGTAACTCATGGTATATTATGTAATTTTTTATTGGAAAATTAAATTACAGAATCGGCAATGCAATATTTGTTAAGACTTTGTTAAAGAGAATGATCAAAAATGATACAGAGGAATATACGATGATGCGTTCCGAAGTTATCATTTGAGAAAGACCTCATGGGACACCCTGTATATTGGTTGAAAACTCAGGTTTTCAGGTGAAGTGAAATCTTTTATTTCATTAGAATTCTTGAAAGATTCCCAAAACCTGCTCTTGCTTCTCTGTTCTTAGGACAATTTCCACTGATTGAATGCTGCTTTAGATGGATTCGATGAAAGGGCGTTATTTTTCATCACTTTTGTGGTTAGCAAGAAGAAATTACGCTCGAAGCATAATTAGCAAAATCAGACAAATCGGAAACTTCTGAGGAGCTTATTTCAACAAAAACTAATTTAAGATAGGAAATTAGCACAAATTCTCTTTTATATACAGTGTGGCTAGTTAAGTGTGCAACATATGAGATTTTTTTTAGTAATAGCACAATCAAAATATAAACAAGGCCATAAGTTGATGCATGTCTGTTAATCATATTAGGTGCGCTTAGAATGGTTGCAAGTCAGACAGCATACAGGGTAGCTCAAAAAATATTAGAATTGTAGTAATATTTACCCAAATAAAATAAAACTTTTGCACTTTAAGGAGAGTTTTTCTGATATGCATATTATCATTAGTAATGTTTTAGCTTGTTAAAAAAAAAATGCGATATTGTAAAGTTATGTTGAATATCATTGCAGCTAACGTGAATTTTGAAGTTAATTTTACAAATATGCTTGAATTTAAACAAAGTTATGTAAACTTGATTTGATTTTGATTAATTTTTGAAAGTATTAAGGGCGGAAAGGAAAAATAAGAAAAATATAGATATTATTGATGTTTTTCGAAAAAAAAAAAAATAAAAAAAAATCTTAGGAGGCCATGTTTTGGTATTTAGGAATAATTTTAATTCCAATCAACTTTTCTCAATAATATTTTGCTGAATTTTCTAAAATAAGTGTACATTACAGTACATTTTTGATATTGTTTGAGCTACCCTGTATGCTGTTTAACTTGCACCCATTCTAAGTGCACCTAACATGATTATCAGACATGCACCAACTTTTGGCCTTGTTTGTATTTGGGTTGCGCTATTACTAAAAAAATCCCCATATGTTGCACACTTAAATAACCACACTGTATACCTTTAAATAAATTGATATTTCATATCTCATAACCCCTTTATTTGAAAAATTGTATGGTCATCATAAACAAGTGCTACAAAGCTGTCCATCATGAAATGTTTTAATTTTTCAGGCGACATGACGTGCAATATAACCACATGCCTGTACTGCTTGAATAGAAACAAAAAATTCGGACAATCAGGAAAATAAAAGTGAATTAAGGTTTTTCTCCTGAAAAAATAGTATTGTGGCGCAGTAGGATATTCGACTAACCCAGATACAAAAAGATAGTATTTTTAATTAAAAGGTTCTTACCTCCGGTTGACTCTCGCCATGCACAATGCAAACTAGCTGCGCCTCCATACCCTCTCCTGAATAAACCACTGGCCTTTCCACGCTTATTTCCGGCGGGTCTGAAAAATAAGAAAAATAAAGAGTTACTGCCTATTACATCTGCCGGCTTGAATATTTCAAAATTAGACGAGCTTCGCTTCAGCGGTACCTATAGATAGTAATGTTTTTTTCACGTTATATCTTCATACCTAGTGATTGGAAAAATCTCTTTCCAAATCGCATTATAACATTGGAAAAGAGTGCGCCCAAGGAATCAGTTGGATAAACGAAGTCACTGCTATAGACAGGCAATTTTAAGGCTCGGGGGAGAGCTATTACTTTTTATATTCGCGATTCACCTGAACGCTTCTTTTGAAGGGTTAAACGTGGCAATTTAAACGAAATTTTCATGTGTTTAAAAAAAAATTTTTTTTTTTGGATTTCGTAAGGGTTCTCGTTAAAAACGTTTTTCTTGCACACAGTATATATGAAATCAGATAATGAGATTTGTTAACTGTCGCATTGACGATACATATTCAAAAATATAGTAAATTTAATATTCCGTATTTTTTTTTTTTTCAAAGAAACCATTTTGATTATACGCATCTGTCGCCAAAATTTTATAAAAAAGAAATTTCGTTTAGCAAAATGTCTTTCTTTAACTTTTTAATTAATTTTCTCGGGACTTTCAGCCGCACCTGAAGCATCGTTTGAACGACGAAGTTTAATACGTTTTTGTCCTTTGATGAAAATAATATAGGTATTTTACATCGGAAAATTTCCAAATAAATAGAAAATATTACCGAATGATTTATTGTATCCTGGAACAAGAAAGTTTTTAGCTGTGTAGTTTCCAATAGATTTAAAACAAGGTATTATGCAAGGTAGCTTCACTATAGAAATCGGAAGGAAGTCGAAAACGAGTACGTGTGCTCACTCCTTTCCAGTCCGATTCTTGGGGTAACATCGGACCGGAGTCGGTTCGGAGCGGTGTATGAACAAGTGTGTTTCGGCATTCAGTCAGTCGTATCAGAAAATATGATCAAATCATCTACAAACAAGGGTCTTTTTTAGATCTTTGAAAACCCAACTTCATTAAATATTCATTAAGTACCTAGCAAGTTTCCAAAATGCCTTTTATTTGATTGAAGATTTTTACTATTAAACATATTAAAATAACACCAGAGTATTAATTAAACAAGCCTTCATGTTCAGAATATTTCATTCTGTAAAAGTTCTCGGAATAGAAAAGTCACTGTTTGTGACAGCCCCATCTAGTAGCTAGGATAAAAGAACTATTAACCCGTGGAACGGACAGAGAGAATGAGACATTCACCTGTGAGGCATCGAATATTTAGTAGAGCGTTAAGCGTATGTTTGTTCTGTGCTTTTGAGGATGAAAATTGTTTAGGTTCTATTGGGATATATAAAGATAAAAGTAAAGAGTTCCTACACTTTGTAGAAAAATAAAATAGCTCGTTGAATTGTTCTACTTATGCAAGATTTTCAATTTCGAAAGCTTTATTGGCCAGAAAGTGCAATTTTATAACTTAACAAAAAAAAAAATATTACTCTCCTAAAAGTTTTATCGTGTTATTTAACCTCGATACAACATTTTAAGTAATCATTTCGCTGCTGGAGACGTTTTACGATGCCTTTAACCGCCTATATGCACACCGCAGCCTGATGGCTCCTCCACTGGCAGCAGCAGGAAACCAATTGGCCTTTTAAAGCTCTTTCCTATGTGACATCACTAAACTTTATTATAGTCGGTGATTTACCCAGTTGTTACAAAATATCTTGAGCATAAACTCGTTAAATCAATGAAATTTTACGCTATAACTGCAAACAAGAGTAGATCACAGGATCTTTTTTACAAGTTAAGGCCGGGACACACTTTTCATACGTCGCTCCGATCCTACTCCAGTCCGATACGCCCCAAAAATCGGATCGGAGAGAAGTGAGCACACATTTCATTCTCGTTTTTGGCATCTTTCTGGCTCCGGCTCGTTGCACTCGCCACTCGCCATTCTTGATCCAAACAATATAATATCGCTGGAGGTCCTGTGTGCAAAATGTTCAAAAATTTCAGCAACTGCGTTTTAGCCATGGTGGCACTTTGTTTAAAAGAAGAAGATGAAGAAAATCGGAGATATTTTATAGAGAGCAGCGGGAAACGCAGATTTTGGGTAAATGCTGCTTGGAAAAGAAGATCTGTAGAGGGAGAGTTTCCCACACTTTTCCCTCATAGCCTTTTTTTTCAATTTTAGCAAGACACATCAAAAAACTTGAACAACTATTAAACGACACGTGGACCCGCAGTTGCAAAACAAATAGATTGCGCGATCGGACCATGATCGGATATAGGATCGGAGTCGGGTGGGAATGAGAATGGGCACGTGCCGAAAAGGTGGGAACTACGTTGTTTGAAGTGTAGTGCCATTCCCCTCTCAGACACTTGTCGTTTTATATGATCGTCGGATCGGAAGGATGTATAGTTGTGTCCCGGCCTTCGTGCATCCTTCCGATCATACAATCGGACGAGTGTCTGAGAGGGATTGGTACTACACTTCAAGCAACGTAGTTCACACCTTCCGGGCACGTGCCCATCCCAACTCCCACATGACTCCGATCCTGTATCCGATCGTGCAATTTAGACCGGGACACACCTATCATGCATCCTTCCGATCATACCATCAGACAAGTGTCTGAGAGGGGAAAATATCTCTGATTTTCTTCATCTTCTTCTTCTAAACAAAGCACCACCATTGACTGAATCGCAGTTGCTAAGATGAACATTTTACATACAGGACCGGAGTCGTATCGAAGGGGTGTATGACGAGTGTGTCCTGGCCTTTATTAAGTTTCCAGCCAAGAAAAAATGACGGCTATCAAGAAAAAGTATGGAAAACTCTACTCCTGCATATCTTCTTTTCCAAGCGGATCAGCGCTTTCCGCTGTTCTCCATCAAAGATCTCCGATTGTCTTCATCTAAACAAAGTACCACCATGGCTAAGTCACAGTTGCTAAAATTGTATTCATTTCGCAAACACCTACCGCGATATTGTTTGAATTAAGAATGAAGAGCGGCGAGTGTAACGAGCCGGAAATCGGAAGGAAGTCGAAAACGAGTACGTGTGCTCACTCCTTTCCAGTCCGATTCTTGGGGTAACATCGGACCGGAGTCGGTTCGGAGCGGTGTATGAACAAGTGTGTTTCGGTATTCAGTCAGTCGTATCAGAAAATATGATCAAATCATCTACAAACAAGGGTCTTTTTTAGATCTTTGAAAACCCAACTTCGTTAAATATTTATTAAATAATGAATTCCAGCACTTTGGTGCTTGGCGTGAACCATAAAGTCCCTTTTTAAATTCACACACTAAATTTATATTACCAACTTCTAAACCTTCTGGAGGTTGCATGAAAACTAGGTCTTTCAAAGTTCCATTCAAAAAGGCCGACTTCATGTCAAGTTTGAATTACATACAAATCATATTCAATGAATAAAGACAACAATATTCTTATACTAGACATACGTGATATAGGTGCATATACGTCTTCACTGAATGCACTCTGCTTAAATCCACGAGCCACTAATCGCGCTTTCTTTTTTACTTTTCCATCCACTACTTTTCCACAGAAAACCCATCTTGAGTCAATAATTTCGACATTCTCAGGTGGCAATACTAGTCCCATGTATTACATTCATCCAACACTGTAAGTTCTTCGCTAACAGTATTTTTCCATCCTTTGTCTATTCTTACAGCATCTGCATAAGTCTGTGGCATTTCATCCAATAAGTTTCCAGTTGATAATGCTGTAAAAAGATTGAACTCGTCATTTTCAAGATCATAGTCTAGTAATCTTCTTGATAGTTGTTTTTTTCGTGAACTTCTTATGTTTGGTATTTCATTTGTTTCTTCCACTTCTCTAACTTTTTCTGTCGTTCTCAAATTTTCTTCCACTTTATTTCCATCTGCTTCTTGTTCAGTTTCCTCTCATCTCCAATCATAATTAATTTTTCACAATGTGAATCTAATTTTGATTTTCGTAATTCCTTAGGTAGGTATAAGATTATATGCTATACAACCAAAAAGTTTAATTTTCTCAAAATCAGGCTTCTCTCCATGCCAAATTTCAGCTGGAGTTCTGTTGTCATTCAGTGCTCTAGTTATTGTCCTATTAATTAAATATGTTGATGTTAAAACAGCTTCACCCCATAAATATTTTTCAAGCTGCGAATCAAACATTAAACATCGAGCTTTTTCCATTATTGAACGATTAAAGCGCTCAGCAACCCCATTTTGCTCAGGGTTGTAGGCAACATTATAGTGAATTGATATTCCTTTTGTTTTGTAAAAATCCTGAAGATCACGAGAAGTATACTCGCCTCCATTGTCACATCTTAATTTACAAAGTTTCATATTAAATTTTGCTTCAACCATTAATACATAATTTCTAAATTTTCCTAAAGCCTCACTTTTGTTTTTGACTAAATAACAAATGCAAAAATGAGAATAATGATCAATAAATGAAATGTAATATCGCTTACCATCATAAGTTGCAGGGTTTATTGGACCACATATGTCACTTGAAACAATGTCCAATATTCTTTTTGCCTTTTTGTCTTCATCAATTTCAATCTGGTTTAATTACCTTGTAAACATACTTCACATATTGAAGCTGGATATCTTGACGAATGACCCATTTTCCGATGCATTAACATGTCATTGTCTCTGGTAAGTATTGCACTCGGTATAACTCTATGTCCTTCAAGATTCCAATAAAAATTAACAACATAGAAGTTTCCATTTAAAGTTCCTTGAAATAATTCAACACAGTTTTTCTATACGCTTACTTTTTCATCTTTGAATATTACTTCCAGTCCACTCTGTTCCAATTTTTTAACACTCAGCAGATTTTCACAAACCCATACATTTTTTTTTTCATTTTTATGGGCTTACCTGAATTGGTTTTCAAATACAAATCACCTTCTACTTTGGCTACTTATGTCTCCCCCTGTTTTGCAACATTTATCTCCTGACACACTTTCCTCCGATTCAGTATATTTTTGCCAA